GACAGATACCCAGCCAGTGTGGCTCAGTGGTTGAGCACTGACCCATGCACCAAGAGGTCACCTGTTCGATTCCCGGTCAGGGCACATGCCCAGGTTTTTGGCCCGATCCCCAGTGGGGGGCATGCAGGAGGTGGCCAGTCGATGTTGTTTCTCATTGATGTTTCTATCTCTCTCTCCCTCTCCCCTCCTCTCTCTGAAATCAATGAAGAAAAAGCAAGAGGAGGACAGACTGGTGAGCCCTGTGACAAGAGGCAGACAGAGCAGAGCTGTACCTCTTCCAAGCCCATCCAGCAAGCTTCTTGTGATTAGCCCCTGCCTCTCGGTCACCTCTTTGACTTGACACCCTTCTGCCCTGACTTAGGAACTTCCACTCGGTTTGTCAAGTTTTTGTAGTAAATGCCTGGAAAAGCCATGAAAGGGATTTGTAGGGTAGAAGGGTCCAAGGTGACTGCACAGGAGAGAGTGTGGCCGGGCTGGAGTGTCGGTCAGCCTGTGACAAACTCAGAAGCTCGTTCCTGGTCAGTGGAGAGTGGGGGCGAGAGCCGGCAGCTGGCGGCGCAGGGACCCTGCTTTTTCAGAGGGTTAGATCGAGGGAGAGCCTCAGACTCAGTTTCGACAGATGAGGAAACTGCTCAGAGCAGCCTTTAGGACTAGGTCCAGGGGGCGAGTCCATTAATCTGGTGGTTCAGCGCCAGGAGAACAAACCAAAGTGTATTTTGACCCATTTTTCCCACTTGCCCGTTGGTTGGTTTGATCGTATAAAAGCAGCCCTTTGAGAACCCGCTGTAGCTTTTCTCGTCCCATGTGGTTGCTCAGAGCCAGGCGGTGGGAGCGAGGCCGTGTCCACGCGGCACACACTGCGTTGGGCTGTGGGGAGGGCGCCGGGCAGACTTGCAAAATTTGCAGGAATTTATATGTTTGTATTTTTTTAAAATAGTTCAGTCATTCAAAAATAAGCTCTGGTCGGTTTGGCTCAGCGGTTAGAGCGTCGGACCGCGGACCAGAGAGTCCTGGGTTCAGTTCCCAATAGGGGCATGTACCTCGGTTGCAGTTTGTCCTTGGTCCCGGTTGGGGTCATGTGGGTGGCAACCACTCGATGTGTCTCTCTCACGTTGATGTCTCTCTCTCTCTCTCCCTCTTCCTCTGTTTCTCCCTCCCTCCCACTCTGACTGAAGATAAATGAGAAAATATCCTCGGGTGAGGATTTTTTAAAAAGATTTTATTAAAACAAAACCAAACCCCAAAGGGATGATAAGCAGGACGAACCTGAAGCAGAATAAATGCGTGCTTTCTTGCACTCAGGTTGTCAGTGACAGGAAAGTAAGCAGAGGCAGGCAGGCGTGTTCACATGGGGGAAAACAGCCGAGTCTTGGTTAACCACAAACTCAATTTGAACCTAGTGTTAAAAACAACAGCAGAGAAAGGAGCCCGTGGCCGTCATTACAGTAAGAAAAACAGCTGCTGGGGGTCGAGCACCTCCTAGGAGCAAGCACAGCAGCGGGCCGTCTACAGCTCCGTCCAAGCGCCCCTGAGAGGCATGTGGGGTGCGAGGGGCCCGGGTCTGCTTGCGGTTCTCTGCACAGCACCTGGCCCTGCCTCCTGCCTCTGCTGCCTGCCCCCTGCCCCCCCCCCCCCAGGGTCCCACATCCCCTTCCTGAACTCGCCTGGGCTGAAAGCGCTTCATCTTAGCCACTTCCCAGCATCTTCAGAAAGGCTCCGCCAGCCCCTCCAGGCTGAACAAGGTGTGTGATCATCTGTCTCACTTCCTGAGTGGCCGTGAGCACGCTGAGGACATTGACTGTCACACTAAGATGAAATGATCATATCCAGTTATAGGACCCGGATACCAAGAAACTGACAAGTCGGAACTCAAAAGGGAGCTTGCAGCTTTGTCGTGCGCATAATGGATGGAAGAACCAAGTTGTTCCTCTTCCTCCAGTTGTCCACTGGACTGTCATGGGCTAGGGCAGGGAGCGGACTGTCACAGGACAAGGAGGGATTTCCTGAGGCTGCGTTGGAGGGTGTAGGTCTCCCTCGCTGGCAGTTTTCATGCAGAGGCTCTGTGTGCGTGCAGGGCTGCTTAGAAGGCACGCAGTACCGGACGTGGGGGTGGATTCGGCCGTCTCGAGGGTTCTGTTCAGCCCTGAGATTCTACGCTGAGCATTTATTACGCACCTGATCTGTGCCAGGTTCTAGGAGCATGGAGAATGAGGCAGGCATGCCCCTGCCCTCAGGGAGCCTGCACTGTGGCAGGGTGTGTCACTTTGGGTCTTCCAAGGAGCAGACACCAAGACCCTGTGGACACTGGCGCACACGTGGTGGCCATCCAGAGAGGTGGCTGCTGGCACCACTGGTCTACTCTGCTCCGTGACAGGCTCTCCTGGAGATGTGAAAGGCACACTTCCACGGCCGCCACCCAGGGACGCTAGAGAGCATTGCCCCGTCACATGGCACCTTTCTGAATTCGCTGCCCCAGAATCATCTCGAGGACCTCTGTGGTCACATGCTGGCAAGCGGCAGAACTAACGGTTTCAGCTCAGATCCCTCGGACTTAATAATGCCTGTGTTCTGTTAACTAGCACCAGGCTGCACCTGAGATCTCTCCCAGCCCGAGACAGAGCCCGGAGCACACACCTGCTGGCCTCGCACCCCTTAGCTGCCGAGCTGTCGGTGGCCGTGGCGCAGCTTAGCCATAACTTGATTCTCTCCGTTTATATTGGAAGGAGACTGTGATTGAAACCGAGGTCTGTCTGGTTCTGTGTACAGTTTAATTTCTACCAGACTTCATGAGGACAGGGCCCAAAAGACGTAGCTAGGGGAAGGCAACTCCTAAGCATACTCTCTTAAAAGACCTGGTTTCGGGCGCCAGAGGCAGGGACAGCAGAGCCCAAGGCTGGAGTGGTTCTCCCCGCTGGTGTAATGTGGCTCTCTTCCTATTTGCTGGTCACAGATTTTCCCTTAAATATCTGTGAACTCTGGGAACAAAGATGCAGCACAACTGCAGAAACAGCCCTTGAGAGTTTGTTTTTTTTTTAATTGATTTTTTTTTTAAGAGAGAAGAAGGGAGAGGGAGAGAAACATCGATCAGTTGCCTCCTGTATGCACCCGACCAGCAATCGAACCCACAATCTGGGTATGTATCCTGACCGAGGATCGACCCGGCGACCTTTTGGTGCACAGGATGATGCTCAAGCAGCTGAGCCACACCGGCTGGACACGACTCACTTCTGTGCACCCGTCCACAGACAGAGCCCCCAGCACAAGGCGTACCCTGGACTCTGAAACCCCAGAGCGGAGCTAAGGGTGGGCGGCAAGTTTGAGGCCCAGCGTAGACTTTCCGAGTGGGTTTGACACCCAGCAGTGGCACATGAAGTCACTGGCTGGACAGCCATGAACTGTGCAGAGGGGTTCGTGGGAAGTGAAGTGAGGGACATGTGTGGAAAGGCTCTCCGTGCACCGTCCGCTGAGCCACTGTTTTTTGTTTGTTTGTTTAAATAGAATTCTTTTTTTTAAATATGTTTTTATTGATTTTTTAGAGAGAGGAAAGGAAAGATAGAAATATCAATGTGAGATAGAAACATTGATCAGCTGCCTCCTGCACACCCCCTACTGGGGACCGAGCCCAAAACACGGGCATGCGCCAGGACCTCTCAGCCCATTGGATGACGCTCAGCCCACTGAGCTACACAGCCAGGCCCCACTGAGCCACTGTTAAGATGACCTGTACTCTGGTCCTCCGCCACCCAGGTCATCAGGGAGCTGAGCTGGGTCCCGAGGAAGCTCAGCCCTCTGGACACAGGCACCGGCTAGGTAGGCAGGTTGAGGTTTCCAGGTCACCGAGGGCCAGGCTCCTACAAGCCACTGATGTGTCACCCAGTAATCAGGGGGCTGGGAGTGGGATCTTTTTCTAGTATTTTGTTTCCCTGCCTTACATATGGTGAAGTGACCATACTGTGACTGTTCCTGGCAGCTTGTTCTCCTTTTTATGATCATCCATTATTGTACACACTTCTGCTTCTACTAAATTATTTGGGCCCAAACCGTGGGGCTTTAACTTTTGTTTCTTTATCCTAATTCAGTTGTGTTCACGTGGCCTCCCTTTCTGATGGCGGCCACCCTCTCTGTCAGCGGTGCGCCTGCCTGTATCACGTCTTTGTAACTGGGGGTTCTGATGTGCCAAACGCTGAGGAAGCACATGTTCAGGACGGTTCGGCTGGTCCGCCAACGAGGGGGCGGCGGGGTCCTCCCTGTGAGTCGGCAGGCGTGCCCGAGTTCAGCGGTGACTGTCCTCTCTTCCTTTGCTGCCTCCCTGGTTTTCTGTCGTATTCTGCACAGACGAAGTTGCATCCTCATAAATGTCTACAGTAACGTAGGGTACAGCCGTGGATTCAGTTGGATTTATATCAATCTGTTCTTTAAAAGCAACCTCATGTCGTATCGTCTGCATAGCCTGCGTGATAGTCGCTATCAGACTGAGCACTGTTGCGCGTGGGGAAGAAGACGCTGGTGTGTGCTCTGCCGTCGGAGAGCGTGGTTGGGAATCCCAGAGTCTCGCTGCACACCTGTGTGGATCCGTATGCATCTTTCTAGGCCTCTGCGCCACAGCTTTCCCGTCTACAGAACGGGCTGACGCCTACGTCGTACATTGTGAAGCTCCAGAGCTCTCACGCACGGCCCTGTTTGACACGGTGCCCGCATGCCGTGGACGGTGGTCCCTTGTCACTGCTGTCCCCCCACATGCAGGCGCCCTTTCCCCGAAAGGGAAGCTGTGTGCCCTTTCCAGGCGAGCGCAAGTGTTGGCCCAGAACTCTCCTCTCTCCGTGGTCTTTGGAGAAGGAAACCCTCCACCTCTCGGAGCAGCCGTCCACAGGCAGCTGGAGCGCTTGCGTGGGGAAGTTCTCTGCGTCACATGGCAGCTGGCCTCCGACTCAGAAAAGGGCAGAGCCAGCTTCCATCCCTCACGGCGGACGCTGACAGTTACGTTTTCTCTTGCTCCACAGTGAACAGAGTATCTGCCAAGCCCGGGCTTCCGTGATGGTCTACGATGACACCAGTAAGAAATGGGTGCCAATCAAACCTGGCCAGCAGGGTTTCAGCCGGATTAACATCTACCACAACACTGCCAGCAGCACCTTCAGAGTCGTCGGAGTGAAGCTGCAGGATCAGCAGGTGAGTGCGGGAGTCACAGGGGTACCCCCGAGCCTGTGCAGTGCATGAGCACACTCACGCATGCACTCGTACATGCACATACATGCATACACTCACACATGCACATGTGCACACGCACACTCACACAGACGTATAGTAAAAAGAGGTCCAAAAATAAGGTCAGGTTTTGAAGTGAGAAGATCTGGGTTCAGATTCTGACTCCACCTTCTCCTGCCCCAAGGCGTGAGGCCTTGAGCAAACCATCTTTTCTGAACACCATTTCCCACATCTCATAGAGACAGTACCCACATCCACAATCCTCACCGTGTTACTGTCATATTAGAATAAAACAGATGTGAAACAGCCTTGAAAAATATATTGTACAAATATGTTCATTTTATTCTGTGCCTACATATCTATAAGTAAAATGACAAGGAAGATTTGGAGTTCATCAAGCCCCCTAAGTCTTACTTTGGAAGGAATAGCAAGGTGAGTTGAAGAAGCTGGGGTCATTTCTCTCCCTAGTAGCACACCCTGGACAAATCAGACAAGGCGGTTTGTGAGTGTCCCTGGTAAGTGCCTCCGAAATGCAGGGTAGGCCCGCCTGTGTCAGAAGTGGTCGCGTACACATAACTAAGACGGAGTAGTCCAAGGTGACGTGGACCAGCACAGAGATGCAGGGAAAGGGTTCGTGTGGCCTGACGTCGTCACAGTGACGTTGGTCAGTACTTCGTGCTCTCCCTCCAGCTCGCTCTTTAGAGGTTGGCGGGGACGCTTCTAGCAGTGAACTCAATAGGCCTGTGGTTTCGCGTTCGTGAAAAACTGCCGGGGCAGCACCGTCTGGTGCCCCTTGTCGCTCAGGCCTTGGCCAAGTGGAGCGGCAGGTAGGCAGCTGTCTGCGAGGATCGGCGGGGCAACACTCAGAAAAGAGAGAACAGAAACTCCGGTCCTATTTTTAGTGGGTTGCCAGTTGAATGAATGTGTTTCTGCTTCAGCCAAAATAGCCCTACCTATTAAGTTTCAGATTCTTGTGGCTACAAGGGGCATCCCCACTCCAGGACCCCTGATAAAGGGAGCCTGTCTAATCTGGAACTCCTGGTACCTTCAAAGGCCTCCCTGACCCTTGTTGATGAGCCTTACTGATAGGAAGGTTTCCCTAAAACCTAGGAGCTGCTTCCCTGTTCTCCCAGTTCATTGGTTTTAGCTGTGCCTTTTAGAGGCACACTGCGTCGTACACGGAAGAGTATAGAGCACCTTTCATCCCAATTACGGTGACAACCAAAACACCTTGCCCATTTTCCTAACACCCATGGGTGGGGGCTGATGTGGCCATGCCACCTGGTACTCGCCTTTGACATAAGTCCATTACCTGGTGCAGTTTCCGAATCATAGTGGGCATTCCCTACGTGATTGCTTTTATTATGACCAGTCGTCCATTCCCTTCCTGCCTCTCGGTTGCCCTCCAGGGCACACTGGGAAGGCGGCACACTGTGCTGGAGGGGGCGCGGAACTGGAGACTAGGATTTCTGGAAACCAGTGTGCACCTTGTTCTCAGGAGGCTCCGTACCTCCCTGCCTCCTGCAGAGGAGACCACATGTAGGGCTCATTTGGGGGGAGGACTTCCCCGGGCAGGGAGACTGGCAGCAGCCTTCAGGGATCTGGATAAATTCAAAGAGGCTGTGTTGACTTCAACTTGGAGATCTCCTAGTGCGGTGGTTCTCAACCTTCCTAAAGCCGTGACCCTTTAATACAGTTCCTTGACTTGTGTGTGGGCGTATCTGCGTGTGGGCGGACCCGCCTGCAGATGGATAGAGGAGCGGTGTCTCCGTTCCTAAGACCACTGGAAATATGTGTTTTCCAACAGTCTCAGGCAACCCCTGTGAAAGGATCGTTTGACCCCCAAAGGGGTCACGACCCGCAGGTTGAGAACCGCTGTCCTAGAGTCTGACAGAGAAGTTACCAACACACCCTTGCCGTTGGAATTGCATGTTCAAGACACAGGTTTCTAGAATGTTGCCTTTATTTCTTCTTCATCTCTGAAAAATAACTTTGCTGGATATAGTATTCTTAGCTGGTGGTTTCTCTCTTTCAATATTTTTTTATTGTTGTTAATCCTCACCCAAGAATATTTTTACCATTGATTTTCAGAGAGAGTGGAAGGGAGGAAAGGGAGGGGGAGAAAGAGAGAAACATCGATGTGAGAGAGACATATCAATTGGTTGCCTCCCACATGACCCCGACCAGGGCCGAGGAATGAACCTGCAACCCAGGTACATGCCCTTGACTGGAATCGAACCCATGTCCCTTTGGACCATGGGCCATCACTCTAACCACTGAGCCAAACTATCCAGGGCTCATTATTTTTCTTTATTTTTAAATTTTTTATTAATTTATTTTTGTTACAAATGCTTCTCCTTTTTCCCCTATTGAGACCCTCCTCCTGATCTCGCCCCCCAAATCTCCAGCATTGTTGTCTATGTCCATGGTTATGTATACATGCATATAAGTTCTGTGGTTTATCTCTTCCCTCCCCCCCACCCCCCTCTTCTGAGGTTTGTCAGTCTGTACCCAGCTTCTATGTCTCTGGGTCTATTTTGTTCATCAGCTTGTTTTGTTCATTATATTCCACGAATAAGTGAGATCATGTGATATTTGTCTTTCTCTGATTGGCTTGTTTCACTTAGAATAATACTCTCCAGGTCCCTCCATGTTGTCTCAAAGGACATGAGATCTTTCTTTCTTACAGCTGCATAGTACTCCATTGTGTACATGTACCACAGCTTTTTTATCCACTCATCTATTGATGGACATTTGGGCTGTTTCCAGATCTTAGCGATTGTAAATAGCGCTGCTACAAACATGGGGGTACATATATGCTTTCTGATTGGTGTTTCAGGCTTCTTAGGGTATATTCCTAGAAGTGGGATCACTGGGTCAAATGGCAGATCAATTTTTAATTTTTTGAGGTAATACCATATTGTTTTCCATAGTGACTGCACCAGTCTGCATTCCCACAGCAGTGTACTAGAGTCCCCTTTTCTCCACACACTAGCCAGCACTTGTTTGATTTGTTGATGGCAGCCATTCTGACAAGTGTGAGGTGATACCTCGTTGTTGTTTTAATTTGCATGTCTCTGATGATTAGTGACGTTGAGCATTTCTTCATATATCTCTTGGTCATTTGTATGTCCTGTTCGGAGAGGTGTCTATTTAGTTCCTCTGCCCATTTTTAAATTGGGTTCTTTGTCTTCCTTTTGTTGAGTTGTTATGAGTACTCTATATATACTGGAAATTAACCCCTTATCTGATGTATCGTTGGCAATCATGTTCTCCCAAGTAGTGGGCTCCCTTTCCATGTTAATGCTTGTTTCTTTTGCTGTGCAGAGGGCTCTTGATTTTTCATATGTCACTTCACTCTCTTCTGACCTGTAGGGTTTCTACTGAGAAATCTGATAATCTGATAGGGTTTCCTTTGTATGTTACTGTCATTTTTTCCCCTGGTGGCCTTGAGAATTCTTTCTTTGTCATTAACTTTTGACAATTTATAATGTGTCTTAGAGAATGTCTTTTTGAGTTGAGATAATTAGATGTTCTGTTAGCATCTCATACTCAAATGTCCAATTCCTTCTCTAGGTTTGGGAAGTTCCCATCAATTATTTCTTTAAATAGGCTCTCTATTCCCTTCTCCTCCTCTCCTTCTGGGATACCCATTTTATGTGGCTTTTTCTAATGGAGTCAGATAGTCCTCATAGATGTCTTTCTTTTTTTTTCAATATGTTTTTATTGATTTTAGAGAGAGAGGAAGGAGAGAGGGAAATATCAGTCGGCTGCCTCCTATACGCCCCGTATTGGGGATCGAGCCCACTACCCCAGCATGTGCCCTGACCAGGAATCAAACCAGTGACCTCTTGGTGCATGGGTCAATGCTCAACCACTGAGCCACGCCTGCTGAGCCTTAGTCTGTCTCTTGTTCCACCTGAGTCATTTCTGGACTTCTGTCTTAGAGCTCACTAATTCTCTTCTGTCTTGTCTGCTCTGTTTCCTTTGCTTCCTAATGCGTTCCTCATCTCGTTTATTGAGTTCTTCAGTTCTAGAATTTTTGTTTGGGTTTGTTTTTATAGTTTCAGTCTCTTTGGTAAAGTACTCCTTTTCATTCCTTCTATCCTGAGCTCATTGAACTGCCTTCCTGAGTTTTCTCGTATCTCATTGAGTTTCTTCAGTACCGCAGTCTGGGGTTCCCTGCCATGTACATCTCATCCTTTCATGACTTTGAGCTCGGTTTCTGGAGGCTTATCATTTTCTGTACACTTGAGATAGTGGACTCTTCTTGTTTAAATTCCATTTTGATCTTAATTCAGTAGATTGATAATTAGAGGTCTTTCTTTTATTTTCCAGTAGGTGGTGCTATAGAGCAGGTGTTGTTTTCTCTTAGCAGCCCTGCTTACATTCCTAGGTCACCTTGAGGGTGTTTGGTGTTATGGAAATTGACTCCTGGGTGATCATGATGGGGTGGGGTGGGTATCCCACTGTGTCCAGGTTGCCTCAGTCTCCGAGTGCCACCACTGTGGCAGGTGTTGGGGAGCCAGGTTCTTGAGCAGCAGCATTGACTCCTGTCCCAATGGCCCTATGGCCCCAGGCACCACTGGCTGTTTGATGCATCTCCTTAACCACACCTGCTGCTTCTGGGTTCCACAGCAGTGGGGGTGGGGCAGAGGGAGCCGGCTTCATGGGCATCAGTGCTGCTTCTGCCCCTCTTACCTTCCACTGGGCCATGGTGTGGGGATCGCACCCTGACTCCTTCACTGCTACTGCATTAGCGGAGGCCTTGGCAGCCACCAAACTGCATCTGCAGACACCATGCCTGTCCTTCTGTCCCGCATCCCCTGCATGTTCCAGTACGTCCACCTTCAGATGTGCAGCTGCGTGGATCTCTCAGGCATGTTTGTGTGCTGAGCAGAGGAACCGTTGTTGGAGTGTAGATGTCTGACTTGTAAATTTAAGGGGAGACACAAAGGTTCTTC